AACAGGAGAGATTATTCAAAAGTATGGAGTGGGTTACTATAATCGGTGCATCCTTTCAGGGAGTAACAGAATGCTATTGATTTAATACCATTTTGATGTGGATTGTTGAAATTAAAAATAGAGTAATATGGACAGACTTAATCAGAAGGACTGGGAAAGTTAGATACTGTATATCACCACCTTTTAAAATCAATGATATAATGAAAAAACTTGATGTAAAAGAGAACCATTTCTTTTTTTCTCCACTCATGAGAAATAGCAATAGCATAGATTTAGTTAGGATAAATCTACTTTTATCTTGTTATGTATAATGTATCTGCACGAAATCACTCTTCCTCAAACAGTTATTTGGATTTCTTTAGATAAGAAAACATAATCAGAGAATAAAATGCAATTGGATTGGGAACATAAACTCAGTTATCATTATGACAAATGCCAACATTCCCTTTAATTAAATTTTGCTTAGTCATGGAAACGCACCACTATTATGGTATTGGTGTGTGTTTGTATATATTCAGCATATCACAGAAGTGAGTACACCTTTAGACGTTATTAGACATTAGTAGGCTGTGTATTGCATTATTTTGAGGGGACAGTACATTTATACTATTATACAAGCTGTATACTCACTACTTCACATTGTAGCCAAGTGTCATTTCTTCAGTGTGGTCACATGAAAAGATATACTTAAATTTTTATATTTATTTATATTTAATATATAAATATATTTAAATTACAATATTATATTTATATTAAAATAGTATATTTATACTTATATATATACACACACATACATACAGTATATCACAGAAGTGAGTACACCCCCTCACATTTTGTAAATATCTAAGTATATCTTTTCATGTAACCGCACTGAAGAAATGACACTTGGCTACAATGTAAAGTAGTGAGTATACAGCTTGTATAATAGTGTAAATGTGCTGTCCCCTCAAAATAATGCAACACACAGCCATTAATGTCTACTAATGTCTAAACAACACACTAGCTAATTGTCCTTTTAGAACAGGGTTTCTCAACCTTGGCAACTTTAAGATGGGTGGACTTCAACTTCCAAATTCCTCAACCAGCATGCTGTTGGAAGCATGGTTCTAGCATTCTAGCTGAAGAATTCTGGGAACTGAAGTCCACACATGTTAACATTTCCAAGATTGAAAAATACCGTTTTAGCAGGTTTTTAAGACTTCTTTTTGCTGTATAATATACAGTATGTATACAAATAGTGATAAGACTACCTTATTACTGGATTTTATTACTTGCTAATTTAGAAGTTATATATTGTTTTCATTCATGAAATTGGAAACTAATTAGAAACTTGAGTTCTCAAAGCAGGTGTTACACATGTTCTGTTTGCACAAATAAATAAACCTGTAATTCCAAGTCCCTTGACCAAAGATTTAAGCTACAATTAACCAAACAATCATATACCGATCTGCTCAAAAGAAACCACTACTGAGTTTTGTAAGGATTATGTTCATGTATTTGTGTTAACTGCTCTAAGCAATTAATGTAGATTGATTTGCTTCTGTTTACACCTAGATTCAATTAAATTCTTTTGAGCAGAAAAGACAGGCAGGTTTCTTTATCTCTTATTTATTCATCCTGACTTTCCTCAAAACAGCTTTAGATTGTGCCCATTTGTATTCACCCAAAAATTTGGGAAGGTAAGATAAACAGAGCAAAGACTTTTAAGCTTCATGGCTCGCTGGTTGAGTGATCCAGGATCTTCTAAATTTTAATCCAGTCCTTTAACCATTACTCCATACTAGTTCTTTCTAGATTTTAGTAATTGGACTTTTTGCATTTCAATCCAACCCCACACTGCATATCAGACATTAATACATAAATCAAACGAGTCCAGAGATATTTCATGAGAAGAGTTCTCCACTCCTCTGCTCGCAACAAAATACCTTATGCCACCAGACTTGAAATTTTGGGTTTAGACAGCTTAGAACTTCATTGTCTTTGGTCAGATCTAAGAGTAGTACATAAAATCATCTGCTACAATGTCCTACCTGTCAATGAATACTTTAGCTTCAACCAAAACAATACAAGAGCACACAATAGATACAAACTTATGGTAAACTGCTCCAAACTTGATTGCAACTGTTACAACTTCACTAACAGAGTTGTCAATGCCTGGAATGCACTACCTGACTCTGTGGTTTCTTCCCCAAACCTCCAAAACTTTAACCTTAGACTGTCTACTGTTGACCTTACCCCATTCCTAAAAGGTCTTTAAGGGGCGTGCTTAAGCACACCAGCATGCCTACCATCCCTGTCCTACTGTCCCCATTTATTCATATCAATTTCATGTATTCATAATCATGTTTATACTTGTATCTGTTATCGAATACATGTTTGATGAAATAAATAAATAAATAAATAAATTTAAAAAAATCAAAATCAAATTGATTCTCATTTACACCTTCAAAACTATGCTGGAGATGTGCACATCTGACATAGTTAAAACAGCAAAAGAGAAGAATATGTTAGAGCTATTCAGAACTTTCAAACAACAGTGATTCAATGAGAAAAGGTGAATAATGTAGACAAAGGGCTTAAATTTTCATTGAACTATAACTTAAAAGAATTGTTTTAATAAAACGATGGAACATTGGTATTTAACACCTGATAAATTGTTAAAAAAATATAAAATACTTCAAATGTATGTTGGAAATGTAAACGGAAGGAACTTCTGCCATCTTTGTTGGACAAAGCGAAGAAATATTGGAGTATGATTCATATTTTAATATAGAATATATAAATTAAACCAGAGACTTTTCTTTTCAATTTAATGGTTAAAGAATTTGAAAAAAAAATTGAAACTTTATTGTTATATATGTTGATAGGAGAAAGAATGCTTTAGGCTCAAAAATAGAAAGATATCAATTCTCACAATGGAAGAATAGTTGGAAAAAATTATGGAACTAGCAGAGATGTCCATATTAACAGGTTAATCAAAGAGAAGAATACATCTAACTTTGTTTCTACCTAGAAACTGCTTCTGGATTTTGTGCTTGAGATAGAAAAAAAAATGAAACTTTGACTGGGATTTACTGATTAAACACTTTTGGAGAGGTATAGAAATGGCTAGTATACATTGAATAAGCAAAGTAAAAAGTTGAACCTGCAACATTATAATATTCATTTTACTCCCCTGAAAAGAGTAGGAAGTTAATGCTTTTTCAAACTTTTCCCCTTCATCCTATACTTCTTTTTTTCCCATTTCCTCTTTTCCCAATATTTTCATTTTCATTTGTATTTTATACTCTTAACAAGTTTAATAAAATTGTATTTTTAAAAAAAGCCACTCAGAACTTCAAGCTGATCTTTGGCTTTGACAAAAATTAAGTAAAGTCCTTGCAGGAAATTGCATTGTGGAATACCTCCTTGTTACTTGCAAGAGCAAAGTTTGCTTAGGTCTAGCTACCATATAAAACAGCTGGAAAAGGCTTCTGATATGAGCATACCCAAATTCACTTGCAGGAACCAGTTCTATTCCATGACATAATATATCCCAGATGGGCCCTTAATGTTCACATGCATGGCAAAAATATTGCCAAGAGGATTTCCTTACAACTGTGATCACAGAAACATCTATTCAAGGCCAAATAGTAATAATATAGAGGTTCTGAATTGTAAATTTCCTTCATACAAGAGCAGAAGTTTATATAATGATCTGCAAAAAAAGGTACCGAGTAACTACTTGTTATCTATAATATATGTAAGAAAATACTATTTGTTTAGATGTTGCTGACTTTTTTAATCCCTGAAAGGTCAGAACAATATGTTCATTAGATCTACTCTCAATTTTTTCTAACTGTACCATATGTCAATTCTCAACTTCTTTTAATTAAATGTAATGACTCAGTAAAGAGGAATGTTTGAAAGAAATAATATATAGATTTAATTTCTTGAATGAAAATTATCAAAGCCATCTGATCATCTCAAATATTAAATCATGCTGCTAATAGAGCTTCCTCCTTATCTGAGTCCTAGACAGTTGCCCACATTGTCCATGTACACATCAAATGATCCTGGTGTATCATTATGGTAATGTATGAGCAAATTTACCTTTACAGTTGGAATAATAACGTATATGTAGAGTGATATTAATCTACGATAACTTGAATTGTACATCTAAAATGTTCGTAGTGTTCTGGAAGTTCTCAGTAATGCCTACATCCTATATCACAAGTTGTTGTTTTCCCAATATTGTAAAGGGGAGAGATTTACTATAACTTCCTTAAAGTTACTAAGTAGTTAAACTCACACATGCTTAACCACTATAAAAGAAGTGCAGAAATGGTTACAGGCAAGTTTATATTAGAAATAAGGCTTTGGATAAGGAATGAATGAATGCAAAAGATAAACAGAAAACAGCAAGAACAGATATAGCCTAAAGTGAAACATTTTTGTGCTTAGATGCTGCCAAGTCACTTATATACCCAGAAAAATTATCCAAATGTTGATGGCTGTAATATTCAAAAGCCCACTAATGTGTCATATTTCATATTTCATTCAAAGAGGTTTGTCTTTTCTGGCAACTTCAAACAAGGCAAGGGAAACAAAAAACAGTAACAACAATCTTAAAACCTAAACAAACCCACCCACCCCCCTCTTTCTTTCTTTCTTCTCCCCCCTTAGGGATTCTGAAAATCAGCAGCAGTGCCTTACCATTTGTTAGGGGAAAACAATGAATCCGTAGAATAAATCTTAAAAGAAGCCATCACATTTAAATAGTGCTCCCTATTTTGTAGTCCCCTACCTCCCTTTAATGTTTAGACTGCTTACCATTTTGCCTTTTCAGAATTTAAGAGTAAAAATCTATATAGTTCAGTTTCAACATTGGCAGTCTACAAAGATTCAGAGCCCTGAAATCCATGCTAAAAATCAGACAAGAAAAAAAAGTAAATATTTCAGGAATGTTCTCAACTATTCTCACATTGTCTTAAAACAGCCAAACTCTAATAGTAACTTACACATTTGCTGAGAAGATTCTAGACTATCCCCAATACTTCTTCAAATTTAAGTCCCAGTTAGTTCAACATCTTCGTTTGGAGTGAGATTCATTTTTATGATTATTATTAACATTTGTCCTTCAAAAAAACATAGAAAGGCATGCTGTTAGAGATATTTCAAAAGATACTAAAAGTTTCCTATGAAACATTAACATAATCTGCAAACCACAAAGGTATCTCATGCTTTTGCATATTAATTTATCCCCTGGTGGTGAGACAAGCAATAACTGATGTGAAACTGTTTAAGAGTTAGGATTCAATATTGTTGTACAATTTTGCAGAATATATCTGCATATATTTCTCTTACTTTAGATCACAACTCCTGCCCCTCAAGAAAGAAAGTCACCTGCTTAAAAATTTTGGGACCCCATATCACTTCAAGGTCTTGGTTATCACCTTCAAAGCGCTCCATGGCTTAGGACCTGGCTATTTACGGGACCGCCTGCTGCCACCAATAGCCTCCCACCGACCAGTACGCTCCCATAGAGAGGGGCTCCTCCGGGTGCCGTCGGCCAAACAATGTCGACTGGCGGCCCCCAGGGGGAGAGCCTTCTCTGTGGGGGCACCTACGATCTGGAACGAGCTCCCCCCCGGAGATACGGAGGATTCCGGATCTGCGTACCTTCCGTCGCGCACTTAAGACGTTTTTATTCCATCAAGCTGGCCTGACCTAAACTTTTCCTCTTTTAAATGGAATTTTAAATTTGGTTTTAATTTATTGGGGTTTTAAAATGTCTCAGCCAAATTTATTTAATTAGTTTTATCTTTATTTTAAATTTTGTATCTACATGTTTTATTTTATGGCTGTTCACCGCCCTGAGTCCTTAGGGAGTAGGGCGGTATACAAATTTAATAAATAAATAAATAAATAAATATCAAAACAACTTACTTTATGTACAGCCAAAACCTGAAAATAACATTTAACACAGCACATTATTTAAACAAAATGGTTCGGTTGAGATCTGCATACGTGGGACTGATTGGGGCAGATTGTAAGGGTGACACTGAAAAATAATTTTATGTCATTTTATTCTATTTTACATATTTATGTATTAAATTATATTGTATATTATCTTATAACTATTGTATTTTACCCTACTTTTATCTTAAATTGTTTGTATAGAATTTTATTGGTGATATGTGTCTGGACCTTGTGCTTTGATATGGCCTATAGGCTAATCAATAAAGCTATACAATACAGTATTTTATGATAAACAATTTACTTTTGTGATATCAAGATATCACATTAAATGTATTCAATCAAATGCATTTTATGTCCAGTTCAAATAAAATCATATTCTCTTCATTCATATCTCCCAAGGACTAGGACATAATCTGGAAAAAAAATGAAGTAAATGAAAGCCATTTTTTCCATAGTTGCCATATTCCTTGCTACTCTGTTTTATATAATATGAGACATACATGATAGAAGAAATTATGAGTCAGAAACAGATGACAAAGCCTTTAATTAATTCAATCTCATAGGTTATGTCTTGATAGTCTTCTTCCCATACAGGGTCAATGGGAGGGATCAAACATGAAAAAAAAGAATAAATTATTACTCTCCAAAAACAGTTCCAGTGACACTATCTGCCTTGATAGAGTTATGCAAGAACAGTTAGCTAGGCAGGTACCTAATAAGAAGAAAGAAACTCTATAGCTTCAAAATGATGGATTCTGACCCAATTAGAGCTCTTCCGCACAACAGCATTAAAATGCTATTATCCAGAGTGGAAGCAAGCTTAAAGAGCCTTGGTAACACAGTGGACTAAAGCACTGTTATTAACATCTGCTGCTTGCAATTACTGCAAGTTCAAATCCCACCAGGCTCAAGGTTGACTCAGCCTTCCATCCTTTCAAAGGTAGGTAAAATGAGGACTCAGATTGTGGGGGCAATAAGCTGACTTTGTATAAAATATACACAAGTATGAAGGCTATTGCTTAACGCATTGTAAGCCACCCTGAGTCTCCGGAGAAGGGCGGCATATAAATTAAAGCAAAAATAAAATAAAATAAAATGTGCCAATCCCTCTATGCCAGGGGTATCAAACTCTCATCGTCTCAGCAGCATCACGTAATGTATCGGAACTTTTTCCCATTTTGCTAAACTGAGTGTGGTTGTGGCCGGTGCGTGATGCATCCAGCCCACTGGCCGCAAATTTGACAGCCCTACTCTATGCTATTTTAGCCATGAGGTAAAAAGTGCCTATATCCTCACAAGAAGTATGGAGAAGTTCACAAGAAGGATTGGGAATGCCTCCTTTGGTGCCAATTACCAGCAGCAGAAATTATTTTGTCCTCTGTTGGTAGTTCTCCATAGGAACTCTTCATCCTTTTTCTACTTCCTTCTCAAGATTCTTTGGCTTTATTTCCGCCTTCCCACCAAACTCAGCAAAGGGAAAACATTCCTAATCTATCTTCTTAAAGTATGGTTTAGCAGTCTTGAGCAAGTGTGTGTACTGAAAACAGTTATTTTAATCGCTTTTCAAGTTGCCAGAGCACCATTGTGGAAATGTCCCGTTACTTGTTTTTTGGTACAGATTACAATTCTGGAAACCCAGCTGATAGGAAGAACACTAAACCAGTATCTAAATCCATCAGTTTTCTTTAAGAGTGATATTTGTGTCCAAAAATAGAGATTCTGAAAAATCAGTGTGGTGGAAAAATGGTATTGGGTGAAGCTCCTGTCCATCTTTCAGCCATCAAATTCAACTGAGCTATTTTTGAACAAAAGTCCATCCATGTTACATTTGAATGCCACTTAGGTTAGAAGGAGAAACTAGGCCTCCTCCTCTCACTTTCACCCTAGTTCTGACATATTTAAAATTAGTAATTGTTACAAGCAAATGATGGCAGCACATAGCTTAAGCATCCAGAATGAAATGGCATTTAAAGTAGGTAAAATGTCACTGCTCCACTGCATTCATTAGAATATTTCTCTATAGGATGATAGTCATGCTGGTTGGAAGCAACTACCACATTACTCATTGATACCAGCTGAAATTCTTAAATTAATTAGTGGTACAACAGTGCCATATCCATACAGAAACCCATGTCTGATTGTTCCAAAATACCGGGGCTTATAAAGAAACCCATATAAAGCCTGAGATGTGATTATCAGAGCAAAATGCATTCAGGTTTACATGGATGCTTCTAAAGGAGGGCATGTAGCCCAGTAGCCCAAAATGAAAGAGCCATGGTAGACAACTTCCAGTGATTAGAGGAGAGGTAGGAAGTCTGCAATGACATACACTAGACCTGGGGTATCAAACACAAGGCCCATTGGATCTGGCCCACGAGGCGATCCTGGAAAATGTAAGGGGCTGGCCTGCATTGCTTCAGCCTGGTCTACCCAATGCAAAGAGGAAACTGTGAAGTTTCTGAAAGATGCCCTAATTAATTCATGAGCCACGAGCCAAACTTCAAAAGAAATACAGTCATTTATTAGGAGCACCATTCCAGCAATAATCCGATGCAGTCAGAACTAACATCCCCAGATTTACAGTGACACTGTCTCCCCTCTCCTCCCTGACCATGTCATAAATCACATTCTCCAATCGACCACATTGGCGGGCTGTGAAACCCACACCCTTCCTGCTTCCTCCGGTAACCTAGGACACAATCTATAGAAAGGCATTTGTGGAATGTAGTTTCAGTTAGGGCAATCAAGCAGTTCCATCAATTCTCCCCCCACTCTCCTGCTTATGGCAACTTGAAAGCTTTGCAAGTTGACAGAAACATTGGGCCAGTGTGGCTTTGGCCCATTCTACCCAGTGCAAAGAGGAAACATGCCAGCAGTTTGGGGAGTGGTGTCAAGCTGGCCACACCCATCCAGTCAGCCATGGCCACCCAGTCGACCATGTCCAGTGAGTGGCATCAAGCTGCCCTCACCCATCCAGTTGGCCACACCCACACAGTCAACCATGCACACCCGGCCCCCCAAGATCAACCACAGCCCTGGTGTGGCCCTCAATGAAATTCAGTTTGACACCCCTGCACTAGACAATTAGGGTGGAAGTATTTCATATAATGAAATGAAGCATCACAAACACACCTCACAGCAACACTTGATTTAGATGCAGAGCAAAAAGACTTAAGACATTTTTCTCAAGGTGGAGCAGGATGTGCAACTGAGAACTTAGCATAAATATGCATTCTTCAAAAAAAATGATAAAGAAATTTGACCGAATTAAATGATTTGTGAAAAAAGGGCTAACATGAGATGTGAGATTCAGAATATATGAAGCTACAGGCTTTAGAAACTTAGCCAACAGAATTATTTGTGTAGGCAATATATCATATCCAACTATCTTGTAACAAACTTAAAATAAACCTATGTAACCTTCAGTGCAATAGTGAAGACAAATGTGCAGATCCTACTTCTGCCATCTGAATAATACATTTTGTATACAACTGGAAGGAACTCACAAATTCTATTATCCTTTTATATCAGTTTTAAAAGACATATAGCTCAAGAAGGCAGATAAAGCTATATAATTCATCTTTTTCAAATAAAAGCAAATGGAAACTTGAGTTCATCTGAACAGAATTAGGTCAATATCACTTAATGAGTAAGTAGTCCTACTCAGAAGTTCAAAAAGTAAGAATGCTTATTATGTGAACATTCTCAATAAGCCTTTCTTACTCAGAAGCCCATTTTCAAGATTTCTAAATTGTGAACTAAATTTACTTTATGACTGTGAAAAACTGGTTGTCACTCCCTAGTTCAAAGATGACACAGTGACATCCAATCAAGTCTAAAATTTTTGTTTACACTTAATGGACAGAATCGTGCCATACTAAAGCTACAGTATATCCTTCTAACCTACTAGATATAGTAGGTCAGAGAGTCTAGGACATGGAGGTGAAACTTGTTCACATCACATGATGTATTATGACGTATTGTGACTTTTTTTGCCTTTGTGGAGCCGGGGTTGGTGTGGCTTGCGCATGATGCATCCAGCCCATGGGCCACCGGTTTGACAGGCCTAGTCTAGGGTGTGGTTTCCTTTCCCCCTTCCCCCCTTCATCTCAAGACTGAAGAAACTATTAGATTGGGCATCTTTCTGAGAAGCTCT